TTAATCATTTAAATTGCATACAAATGGTAACAAATGTGGGGCTTTAAGCTTCTCAACCATTTTTCGAGTGCTATTATTGTACAAATTAAACCGACTTCATTTTTGCATTACTCTTATGCACTTCAAAAGCGGAATATTCACAGAAAAGTTGCAGTGTAAATACTTAAAACATTTACGAAGCACCGCCATTCTTCATTAAAGCACAAGGCACTCATACATGAATCACAGATTTACGAATGCAGGCACTACTTTGGAAAGACTGCAAACAACGATAACACAGAATCCTTTTTAACGGAAAAGCACTTTTATTAATTAAAATGACCTTTACGAAGTCAACAATACGGCGATATATGTTTTTGCTTATCACATCCAACAAAACACAGATGCATCGACAGCCGACGTACGAACCGCATTAACACGGTTGCAATGCAACATTGCAAAGGATACTTTACTGCCTACGGAACAAATCACAATAGTGGAAAGGAGTTATGCACTGCAAGGATGTTTAACTGAGAGAAATATGTAAAGATATTTGCAGACGAGAGGAACATACTGTGACGGCTTTGTAAAGTAGAGTAACACGTATATATTATGCGAAAAATAATTCAATACTGAAGACAAATATATTCGAGTGAAATGTATCATATGGAATTCACACAAAATATTGTGGATTAAAAAAAATACTATAAAATCTTTGAATTTATTTATTGACCTATTTTTTTATAATGGTTTTTATATATATTTTTTTATCCGGCTATAGGTCGGATAATTTCAACCTTTGTTTAATATTTTTAGGTATATTCTATATTTCGACTCTTCTTGAGAGTCATCAACAGTATCAGGATCTAACATAAATTAATAATACTAAAACCTCTTTATTCTATTGTCTAAATTGTACGGCATTGCTATACTATAACTACGTCATTCTCTTTATTCTATTGTCTTTATTGCACTGTATTGCAATACTATATCTACTATATGTTGTAATATAGTGCAATATAGACAATAGAATAAAGAGGATGTCTAAGATATAGTTTTAGTAATATTAATTTATGTTAGATAGTGATCCTGATGATGACTCTCAAAGAGAGTTGAAATAAAGAATGTCTTAAAAAATAATAAACAAACGTTGAATTATTTAACAAAAAGTGACCTATAGCCGGATAAAAAAAATATATAAAATAAAATATAAATATATGTATAAAATTTTCAAATAGAAAAAAAAGAAAGAAAGGACAAACACAAAAACTTTATTGTTTTAATTTTATTGAAGTTTGGCTGACCATACAACGCTGTTTCGAGTATTGCCAAGTACTCTTCATCAATGGTCTTAGAAAATAATCGAATTTTATTTAATTAGTTTATAGTCCGTATATAATTTGTTCGGACTGCAAGTGCCAGGCTTAGAACTCATGCCTGTCAAATTAGAAGCGATGACTAATCGTGTTTATCCACAAGAAACCAAGGCTGCACAAACTTTCAATGTTCAAGTTCCAGGTTTTAAGTTCCAGATTATTTTTGTATGAAATAAATAAAATAAAATATATAAATAATATACGTATATATATATAAAAAAGATTGCTGTTGGCAGAAATGCATAATATTTATTAAAAAATATTTTCTATATCTATAATAATATATTAGAAAAATGAAAGCGATATACTTAAGTAATATTTTATAATTTGAAAAATATGATAGAACATCGAACTTTTAGTTTAACGTATATTCAAAAAACAAATCATCGACTTTTTTAAACTAAAAATCGCCTCCTGTCCTATGCAATCATAAATAAAACTAAATATTTTTATATGATATATTTGCAAATACAACAAATTTGATAAAAACCATAAAGTTTAAGTTTTTATTTTTTATTGCACAAAAATGTCCATAAACATTTGTGAAATAAAAATTTAAAATTTATTTCATTCGCAAAGCAATTTGTTTATTTTATATTCTGTCTAAAATAGCTCAGAACAGAACTAAAAAGTAGATTCTCCTTAAAATTTATGACAAATTTATATGCACTAAAGCATCAAAGCATCAATCATTTTATTTGATTTTTAAGTCAAATAAATATGAATAACCAGAATAAAAAATTATTTTTAAGATACTCAAACTCACACTCGAATTTATGCGATTTATAAAAAAATATTTTAAATAAATATTCACTTTGTGCAGTCTTAAAAAAATATACAACAAATATTTATTTTTTATTTTCTTTATATATTTAGTATATATTTAATGCGCTTAACTTATAAGCTTTTTGGTATTATTTTATTTCTGACTATTTGCTTTAGTTTATGAGTCATAATGCAGCAACTGAGAAGATACATTTGCATACGGCAATACTTCAGGCCGTAATTAGTGCGATTATGGCAAAAGCCACTTTTCGAGACACATAAACTTGTCAAATCTATCAAATTATACCACGTATGGATGTGAAAATAATTTTATATTTAAACTGGTGTTTCAATTGGTAAATATTTATATAAACAAATTTAAGTGGACCTTGAAAAAGTGTTCTATGAATTAGTAAACCAAGTCAAAGAATGATTAAGATACTTCAGTAAATAATTTTAGATGACTCAGAACTATTCAAACAGACCTGCCAAATTACTGCATAATAAATATTCACAGTTGTTTAAGTAAAAGAAAAGTATTTACTGAAAATAGTAAAACAAATAGCACAAAATTTACATTCAAAAAATAATAATTTTAAAATATTTCAAATATTATTATAAATATTATACATTATATATCAAAATGGTTTAAATCAAACGGATGTTAACAGCAACAGAAACAGAAACATCCTCAATGTCTTCATCCTTAAATATAAAAAAATTACACAACTATATCTATTCATATTAACCCAGAGGAAAAATTCACACAAAATTTACACCATAAATATCTATAATACGAAAATGGTTATATGAAAAAGTAAACACTTAAAATAAAAAAATTACATCAAAATATTCAATTAGAACTTTGTAATATTCGCTCTTACACATATGATATCATTTAAACTGAATGAGAATTATAAGTTTAAATATACATGCTTATCATGCATATGAAATAAAACTTTAACAATTACACGTTACACATAAAACATGAATACGATTCTCAAAAAATAACCCAAGATCAACGAAAACAACTGCTCTTCATTACAACAAGCCATTATATTAAGTTTTAAATCAATTAGAACTTGCAATAGTCACCTTTATAAGAATGATGTTATTAAAACTGAATGAGAATTATAATTTTAAAACTATATGTTTTCTTATATATAAAATTACAATAAAATAAAACTTAAGCATTTATGTGGTATAGTATATAAAATATGAATTATTATTCTCTAGCAGTTTAAATGAATTAGCATTTAGAAATACAATAATTAACTTACAATGCTATGAATGCTTGCATGGTAATATTGATGGTTTTATATGTGTACATACCATATGTCAACAATAAAGAATTATTGCTTTAAAAGATTAGTTTTTCAATGAGGTCTGTTTGCATTAAATATATAATAAGTTATATTCAATTACTATATTTGCAAATATCCGCGGTTTTTTGGGAATGGATGGTGTTAGTATTCATATCTCCAGCAATACTAATCCGATCATGTCAACGTTTCAATACGTTTGCGGATCATAAAAAAAAGTCCACAAAAAAGTAAAAAGGTTATATCACAATTGATCGTAAAAAATATACAGAAGATTGGGTCAAGCGTAGGTCCCGTTTGAAGAGAACTGTTTTGAATACGATAAAATTAATTTCTATACGTTGACGATTTTTTTTTTGGTGTTTTATTTAACAATTCCAACTGCTTTTTAAGTTGAACATATATTTACATACATTTTTTAAGTTAGTGATTGTTCCAAGTACAGTAGATAGGAATAGGAACAGACCCCTG